TCTTGGAAAGATTTTTATGCGGAAAATAAGTTCGGTGGCAGCCCCGAGCGGATCAGTGCAAGGCTGTTTTGTCGCCAACACCTCCAGAGGAGCTCTTGCCCCACCCATGAGTGCGGTTCTTAGTCCTGTGCGAGACGTGGCGGAAGGGCAGTGGTTCCGGCCGGAGAAGATCGTCGTCGATGCGGGCATTCCGAGGGAACCGCTCCTCCCGCTGCTGAAGCACTACTGGGCAAAGGGGGCGAGACATGTGCTGATGAGCACCAGTGGCCCGCTGCGCTGGCCGTTGTGCGAGAGCCAGGAGATCCAGAAGTGCGTGGTGTGGGATCCTCGAGGACCCCCAGGTGCAGTTCGTGTCCTCACTGATGAGGAAGTCTGGCGGTGTCAGGGCCGCCAATGGGACTTGTGGGATCAGCTTCGGCGCGAGGGCCACACCGGGCAGTGCCTACTGAAGGAGGGCAGCAAAGCAACGGGCGGCCAAACCGCCGCCGCTCTCGTGCTGATGGCGGGCTACTCTGTGGGCGCCGAAGTACGTGCCGGGGGAGTCCTCGACAACCTGGACGACGCGAACCTCGCCAAGGTGTTGGAGTGGTTAAGACGATGGAAGAGAGGTCTATTTCCCCGTGCAGCTGCAGGTGGTCAAGACCGTCGTGCAGGCGGCCATGGACACCGAGGCGGGGACAGCGGCCTGGCGCAGTGTGGTGGCGACGGCGAGCAGCGCCATGTGAGGCGCAGCACCGTGTGGCGCTGGGGCGACGCATTGTGGCTGCCCGAGTAGCGCCTCGCAAAGGCGTTCGCCGCGGCAAGGCAGAAGCTGCACAAGCCGAGGCCCAGGTGCAGCTGGACCAGGGTCCCGTCCGACCTTTCACCGGCGAGGTGGGCACCTACGTCGACGAATGGGTGGAGGATAACCTTTGTGGCTATCTCGCCGACAGCACCATGAAGCAGTACGCAGGCATCTACTACAAGTGGAAAGTTTGGAGCGCGAGGCAAGGATGGCCTACAGAGTTCCTCGACAAGTCCGTCCCGGTCGAGGCCAACGAGAACAAGTTGCTGGGCTTCCTGGGTTACCTGGGGTGGTTGGGGTGCTCTGTAGCGACACTACGGCAGGCTGTCTTTGCAATCAAGGATGGGCACAAACGAGGTGGCCAAGGGGACCCCACGGAGAAGATGCACCGTCTGTGGATGCTGTTGGGAGCTTTGGAGAAAAGATCCCCCAAGAAGCCAAGGCGATTGGGTGTCACGCCGGGCATGCTCCAGTGGGTCGCGGAAGTGATGGGCCCGCATCTGGCGACCACGGCTGAGGAACGCTTCGACTCCACGATGGTGATTGCGGCCCTCAGTACCGCGTGGTTCTTCATGCTGCGGGCAAAGGAATACTGTGACTCCAATGGGGTGGATCTCGCGATGATCATGAGAGGGGTTGATTTTAAGATTGAAATGGATCCCAGCGGCGACTACTACGTCACCCTCCAGTTCAGGAAGACGAAGACGGACCAGGAGGCCTTTGGCACTTGCAAGACGATGTACGCGTCCGGGGTCAAGGACCTCTGCGTCGTGAACGCCCTGAGGGCCTTCAAGGAGATCGCCCCTCAAAGGTTCGGTCAAGGAGCAGAGGCGTTGAGGCCCCTGTTCAGGTGGGCAAATGGGCAGATGCTGAAGCGAACTCAGGTCCAGTACCTCTTGCAACGAGCAGCAGCTGGAGTTGGCCTCCCCCCGGAGAGATTCATGTCGCACTCACTCCGCATCGGGGGAGCCTCGGCACTCTTCCAGGCCACCGGCGAGATCGAGGTGGTGAAGCGGACGGGAAGGTGGTCTTCGTCGGCGGTGCAGCGCTACTTGCACGACGGCGAGACCGCCTTAAAGCAGGCCGCGAGCAAGATGGCATCCGTGGAACAGCGAGTTCATTACACATGAGCCGTCAAAGTTTTGAGTTTTGTTGGGGCCGAAGGGCGCTGTGCCATAGTTCGGAGTGCAGCCTTTGGCAGGATGGCGCAGGTGACCGCAAAAAGAGTCGCTAGTGTGCCGTGTGTGCGCTAAAGTGCCAGGTTAGGCATAACCGTAGCTTTTGGGCAAACGCGAAGCCGTCACGACCCAGAGCCTTTATGGTTTTTCAGTGAGCCCACCCTCCCACACCTGGGGGGCCGAAGGGCGCTGTGCCATAGT